TACATCTTACCAGCCGTTATCTGTCCACTGCTGGATATTGGCCTCCCCCATAGACGATCGTTGCCATAAGGAACGAAAGCGTTTCTTATTGCAGTATACCATTCGGGGAATTTTGCCAACAGTTGACCCCCTTAGGGTTTGCGACCCACACGTTTAAAAACACTGGTTTATTCCATAATAATTTAAAACTATTAAGATTATAGCTTGTTCTGTCTGAACTACTTATCTGACCTATAAGATGATACAGTAAATTCAGTCTCTAAGAAAACTAGTCTCTAGTAGTATTTATCGAAGCGAAATCGAACGATGTTACTAGACTATTAGAATTCATAGACATACATACATATATACTGAACTTATTACGGTCCATTTGTCATCAGATATTCAACGCGATTGGTTACTAGTGAAACAATGTATTACGGGATAGTTTCTGATCGGTCGGAAAATGTTTTATCATAAAATCAATTGTAGATGAAAAGTTATCATTAAAAAAATTAGCTCTCCTATCTCTAGAATGATATTTCAAAACTATTTCCATTAATAAATGCGAAAGTTTGTAACGATGGATGGATATAGACGTTACTCTTTCATGCAAACACTACTAAACGGATTTGAATAGTATTTGGGACACGGGCAGGTTATATCATAACTTAGCACATAGAATACTTTATATATTGATTCACGCGCGCTAGCCGCAGGATACAGCTAGGTTTAAAATATACCATACTTGTTTTTTTTTAAGGGTGAAAATGGTATGGTAAACCCGCCTGCGCTAACGGGATACGCTGGCGGGGCACCAGTGAAGGGTGATAGATGAGAATGAAAACAGGCCAGTTAGCTTATCATGATAAATTCATCAGAAATTAACCATCATAGTTTCCAGGGGGAACCGCGAGGAGGTCGACCTGGTTGGATATATTGCTAGCAATGGGATTCTCAGTCTCCATTACTAACAATCCCTTCCCCCCAATATACCATACTATTTTTAGAGGAATATTTTCAAAGACAATACATATTGCCTATTATATATTATATATTTCCTATCTTATTGATACTTTACTAATATCGTAAAGACCGAAGAAGGCGTTTTTCTGAGAAACAAAATTACTAACTCACTGGGTATTTATTCATCAAATAAATCTACTTTTCTTATTTCTTTTGTGAATTTATCAGATTATGTCATATCATCCATTATGAAAGTTCCCAATCATTTATTATGAAGTATTAACATTTCTACGCCAATTATAAACTTTCAGTTGATTGCCTAAATTACTTTCCGGACCGCTCGAGGCTAGTTAGTGTATTCGCGAATAATGTCTCATAAATACAGTGTCGGTTCAAATGAGTAACAAATTACGCATCCATATCGGAAATGAATCAGGTTACGTGGCCGTAGACGTAATAATTAGCATTTCAGTAATAGTTTAAGTCAAAAAATTGTTCAGGATTTATTCAATGTGCTTACGTATTAAATAATAATAATAATAATAAATGTTTTAGATATTGTTATAAACATACACACTTAAAACTAATCATCACTATAACTGCCTTTAATTTTCCAAGCTTGACAGGCAACCGCATTTAGGCTTTGGAGATGTTTTAAGAGGAACGCTACTGCCCTCTCTTAGTCGCCTCTTACAACACTCACGGGAAAAGAAAGGGTGACCTATTTTATGTCGGGACCAGTTTATAACAAAACTAATAAATTGTTTTAATTTATTAGTTTTAATTTATAAATTAGTTTTAATTATGCTACATATTATTTAAACTTAATACGCGGCATCTGATTTTTTTAATATAACCAATACTTATCTAACATGTGACTAATATAGTGGCATACAACTAATTTCATCATCTAAATGCGACCTGAAACTAACAGAGTTGAGTAGGCGTGTTATAGCTATCAAGAAATTAGCATGATTCTAGTAGCACGCATTCTAAAGTATCTAAAGCACACGTAATTTCAAGAAATTAATTCTATTAATTTACGTTACGCAACTAGAGAATGACATAGATGATACTTATAAAAAGTTTCATTATTCTAAATTAACTTTTTTTTTTGTTATTTAATTGTTAAGTATAAAAACATATATATTCATTGTACTGTACTCAGGTGGGCCGTCTGCTTGTTTGCAATTCTGAGTTGCATATATATATATATATATATATATATATATATATATATATATATATATATATATACGAGGTCTGTCCGGAAAGTTCGTATAAAAGTGTTCTGGAATGCGAGAAAGAGGAGTGGGGAGGCCAGGTAAGCGCAGGACCCCTTCCTTATGTCCCTAACAATGCTTCAGTTCTGGTCTGACCGCCGTGCGGTGCGAACTGGCTTGTCACGCCATCTGTGAAGTTACCTCTTAACGAAACCCCGTCGGCATGGAGCCCGCTTCCGTTGAAGAGCAGCGCGTCGTAATCAAGTTTCTCTCGAAACTCGGCAAGAATGGCCGTGAAAGCAAAGAGTGGAAGACATCCGGGGAACCACGAACAAAAAAATCAAGAAAATCCCGCTCAAATGTCAAGACAATGTTGATTGTTTTTTTCGATGTTCGGGGGATTGTCCATCAAGAATTCGTCCCTCCAGGCCAGACAGTTGATGGAAAATTCTACGTCGATGTGCTCAGACGCCTCAAAGCTCGTGTGGCACGAGTTCGTCCAGAATTGGCGCGAGAGGGGCGTTGGATTCTTCACCACGACAATGCCCCTGCCCACACCTCTCTTGTTGTCCGTGAGTTTTTGAGTAAAAATTCCATTACGGTGACCGAACACCCCCCTATTCGCCGGATTTGGCCCCGTGTGACTTCTTCTTGTTCCCAAAAACCAAATTGGTACTTCGGGGGCGGCATTTGGGGGACATAAATGAGATAAAAAAAGCTACGACGGGGCAGCTGAGAAACCTACAACCAGAGGACTTTCAAGGAGCCTTCTCACAGTGGAAACGGCGTTGGCACAAGTGCATTATGTCACAGGGGGAGTACTTTGAAGGGGATAAAATTGATTTACCTGAATAATTGTAAAATAAAATTTTTAAAAAACTTTTATACGTACTTTCCGGACAAACCTCGTATATATATATATAGCTACTGCCGTTCTCCACACATGATTTCATACTTTTACTTATTCATAATAAACAGGTAAATCATTGCTAACAACTGCTGATTCACAACACCTATGAAAATGATTAGCGGTTTTTGTACTTCAACTTAAAGATACGACTTAAAATTACATAGAAAAAAAATACGTTATCATTCTATTCCAATTTGTTACTTTTATCGTGTTTTTACGGAAATAGTTTAGAAATATTTAAAATGAGCCACCCGGTAAGTTATTGTACTGATATACTAATGAAGAAAATGAATGAGATCAAAATCTTCCATCTCACACACTCACTTTAAAAATAGAGGTTTTTTAACTCGATTATTTCACGTTTTTGTATGATTTTATTTCATACAAACTCTATCTTGATAATTACAAATATATATATATATATATATATATATATATATATATAATCACGTGGACGAAATCGTAAGTAGAAAAGCTAGCTAATAAATAATGCAAATTATATTGCCGCATTTCGTTATGAATTTAATACGTATTTATACTTGCATACCACATGCAAATAGCATAACTTAAGCTGATTCAAGTAAGTTAAACATATGTTCTTATTGTCTGATGACACTAAAGACTTATACATGAACACCTGTAGTGCGTTGTATATTGCAGGTGTTTTTGTAACTTAACACCAACGGTATTACAATAAAAGAAAAAATGTGGAAACATAAACGCGGCGAAAATGAAGCCCGAAGATGATGCTAAATCAACGACTCTATAACATTTGCAAATACTAGTCACTTTTGTACAAACCAATACACCAGTACAGACTAACACCCTCTGGTGTCGAAATAAAACAACCGGTTATGTTGGATCGTAAGACAGTTTCATTTCAGAACTGATTTTATTTAGCCTACGCAGTAAATTAAACCGCAGCGCCATCTAAATTATGACAACGCTATCTATTTTTCCGTGTGGTCCCGGCATAGAATGAGCCATCCTTTCCTTTTCCGTGGATGTCGTAAGAGGCGACTAAGGAAGGCGATGAATGGACAGCAGCGTCCTTCTTAAAACATGTCCAAAGCCTAACCGGGTTTTGCTAGTGCTTGAGAGGAGCTAAAAGGGAGGCTTATGTTCAGCAGTTAAGGCTGATATGATATCTATTGTTAGTTTGATGTCTTTTCATACAAGCATACGGCCCACTTGATGGCAAGCATTTATCGTAGCCTATAAACGCCTGCGATCTCAAATATGTCGCTTAACATATAGTTAAAAATATATCTATTTAAATATAGGTATGTAGATTATTGCTATTTTATTACAGTTACATATTTGCCCTTGGTTTTAATGTATTCGCCTATCAGTCATCAGGTAGTTAAGTTTGTCATTTAATATGAATACATACATACCTATATAGATTACTTGAGCAAAACGCATCGAAACTAAGACCTCGATTTCTCAAACCAGTGTTCAAAATACTTAATCAACGAGACGTCACCTAGTCTCTAATTAAAAAAAGCTGTAATCTCTTAAATTATGCTTTGTGCCATTTGCCTAATTTATTAGAATTGTGTGTTATGAAATTTGCCTGTTGTTAATGTATGTATTTATTACCTTCTATTAAGATTAAAGTTATTTCATGCGAAACATAATTATGTAACAATACCTCAATAAATAAATTAAATATTTTATTCTATAATTATAAGTACTATTTTTACGAAAGTCAACTCTAAAAACAATCAATTCTAAATAACATTTAAATAAATTATCGTTACACAAACGACCTCCTCCTTTTTTAAATAAAATAAATATGTTCACGACTCTATAATTCTTATTAGCCAGTCAGAGACATTTTTCAACTGTTGCCTTGCCGCCGTTGTTCGAATTATTAAAAAAGTCCCTCGATGTGTAATTTCCTTCGCCTTTTGTTTCAG